ACATAGTTGTTAACACCAATACAGACATGTTTAGTGTGGTAAATACCGACACTTGTTCTCGTAGTTTAATCGTAGCAACTGGACTTGCTTCAGTTTCTTGAAGACGTTTCACCTCTCATCATAGAGGTTTCATCAGTTCTGACTGACTAGTTGGGAGTTCCAGATACTTCTATTCTTTAAGCCTGGCCAGGAAGGACAGATGGTTTGAGAGAGGAGTCAAAGAAGCCATCTATGTCAAACTGGAAAGACCATCACTTAACAGAGGTGGAGGTCTGAGGCATCACCTCTCACCTGTTTACAATTCAGTCTTAAGAACTCTCCCCAGGAAGATGAAACCACATTCACACCTAGCCACAAAAGACCTTAACGAACCCTATTGTGGCAGGGGGAGTCCTAATGACTGGCCTAACGAGGGGGAGGAGCAACAAACCCCCAGTTGCAACTGAGGCCATGTTTACACATAGCCAGGTATTTACAAAAACGGATCTACGTTTTCAAAAATAATAATGTTCACACCACATCATTTTCAAAAGTCTTCGTTTCCACAAACCCACATAAACATGTTATTAAGAGCTGCTATAAGCATGACAAACCTATAGGGGGCAGTGTAATGAGAAGCATACAGCCATGCTAGCCAATCAGAATCCTGGAAAAAACACAACAACGAATGGCACAAAGTACTTTCTGTTACTTCAACGATAATGAGGGTCATTTGTTCGGACCGACAGAGAAGTGGAGCGACTCCTAAATGCGGTGTTAGAGAACAAAACAAGTAAAATACCCGAAAATATTGAATTTCTATCACAGTAGCCAAACTGTAAACATGGTCGCACAGATGATGCTGATGACGCTTTTGTCGCATACTGTGACCTCAAACTCCGTCTCCTTCTGTCTACATGCAAACGTAAAGATGGAGTTTGGCTGCCGCTTTCGCTCACCTGGTTGAGCTGGCGACCCATGTACAGGGGCTATCGTCTCTGATGCAGTGGCCATGGCTTCAAATCCCACTCATGCAACCCCTTTCCCCATTCTGCTCCCCAACTTTCCTGTCTCTCTTTGACTGTCCTATCCAATAAAGGCAATAAAGGCAAAAAGAAATAAAAAAGACGGAGTTTTTCCAAATCTCCACTGTGTCCGGATATTTTAGATCTGATCATTATCAGTGACTTGTAGCTTAGTTTACGTGTAAACCAAAGGCCCAAACGCATTTAAATATTGTAATATACTGTTTTTGCTACGTGTGAACAGGGCCTGAAACTCAAGTGTTAATGGCTCCTAAAGAACACAAGCATCTAGAACTCCTAGTCAGTCAGAACTGATGAAGCCTCTTGGATGAGAGGTGAAACGCCTCAAGAAACCCAAGCAGGTCCAGTAGTTATGATTAAAGTACGAGAATAACCATGACCTGGAGGACTAAGAATCTTCACAGATACCTACACTTGTGCATCATGAATCTTCAAATGGCATACAAATCAATCAGCCAGTAAAAATATAAGTTGATACTCAGTGCAGTCTTTGCTGGGAAGATATTAAAAAACACAAAATGATTTAAACTCTCTCAGTCTTAATAGAAATAAAACTGAGATTGTTATGTTTGGTTGAACTGTTGACCTGGATGACACAGCACTCTTGGCCCTCTGACTTCATACAATCGATCTTTTGTTGTGTGTAAAACTTTGGACTGATCTTCAACAGACTTCTTCAGCTCAGTGTTCAGAGTAGCTTTTGTCTGTTTAGACTGTTCATCAAGGTGAAGGTTTTTCTCTATTCTAAATACCTTGAAAAAGTTATCAATAGACTACTGTAATTCTTTGTATGCCGGCATAGAGAAGTCATTTCTTGATGGTACAAAATGTGCCTGTTTGCCTTTTAACAGGGAAAAAAAAAGCGTGATCTCATAACACCAGCACCAGCCTCCTCCCACTGGCTTCCTGTCAATCTCAGGATTGATTTTTTTAGGATTTAAGTGTTTGTTTTTAAGGTTTATTTAGCAAAAGTCCTACATCACCATACCCCGGTGAGAGCACTGAGGTCAGTCACATGCTAGATATCGAGGCAAAAAAACTGGCTTCACCTAATCTCTGAACAATTTACGTTTTCATGTAAGAAGTGCTCAGACTTTAGAAACCTTCAAGTCACTTTTAAACCCCACCTCTTGTCTTTGGCACTCAATCCTATGAGACCTTGACACACTGAACTCATCCTTCATTGTCTTGAATCTTATAATATTCTGACTGTCTTTTATTCAGGGTTTTCTGTCAGTCTTTGTGTTTTACTGTGTCTTGTTTTTGATTGTACAGCACTTTGGTTCATAGATGTTTTTAAATGTGCATATACACAGTACGTGTCCAAAAGCAAGCAGGTCTTTTTTACATTTTTGGACTCGTGAGGATGTTTTTGGGGGAATGATTTTGTGGTTTTGGCTGGGTCTCTCAGTTGCAGATCTTGGCATATAAAAGGGAAGACCTTATCCTAATTCATCATGACATTATCTCATGGAAAAAGTGAGGTCCATTAAGAAATGCTGTTCCCAGTTTGGTGGTGTTGAGCTGCACAGAGCCCTGAACTAAAACCCATCCAAAACCTGGGTTTCAGCCATCATCAGCACCCCTTGGTGATGCTCCGGTGACTGAAAAAGAGCAAATCCTGCAGCCAGGATTCGAAATGTTGGAGAAATCCTCTGATAAAGTCTGTCCTAGCTGAATATTAATGATGCAGGAGTGAGACAATAGTCACATATGGCAGGAGAGATCAGGTGTCCACATTGTATACCTTTGGTACAGTGACTTGAGGTGAGGTTCATGGCTGGTGAGGCACTGACTTCATCAGAATCACATTTACAAATATATGCACTCTACACAGGAGCATATTTGCCATTTGATTGGCAGCAGTTTACGGGTTATGTTTCATATCTGCATCCTTTATACATACAAGCTGTAGCCCACAAAACGCATGTTTCTTATCTTTTCTTTTTTGTTATTGCGGTCTTACCTTTACTTTTAAATCAAGTCCATGCTCCACTCCTTCTGGACAAAATATCCGTTGCTTTTTTGTAAAAGTCTCCTTGACTTGCTAACTGGACACCGTACCTAGTCTAGCTTACTGTCACCGCTCTGCAGCCACAGTCACAAGAAGCATGTCTGGGATCAGAGCGCCCCCTGCCATGAGGCAAGAGAACTGCCTGCCTCACCTGGAACCTCTTATCAGCCGTTTATGATCGCTCACCACAGTTGGTAACAAAAACACTGTACATTATTATATACATCAGCTAAACCACGGAAAACCAGTCCATATATTAAATGTGTTTGAACCGTGTTATTGGCGACATACAGACAGCAGCACGCTGTCACTGCAGGCAGGCTGCGCAGTGAGGGATTGCGCAATCCAAGTGAGGCTCAGCTCGCCGCTGCCTCACCGGCGTCTCTTCCAAGCATTTGAATGGGAAATTTAGCGATTTTGAATTTTAAAATCGTCAAAACTGATGAGGCTAAATGAAAAAATTAGATACTTTATAGTACAAATCACTGGATAAATATAACCATTTAAATTATATTATCATCATATATTTTTTTCTTTCCGTGATGCCTCCCCTGGCCTCACGTCACTGCTTTGGTAGGTGTATACATGTTTGAGTCAAAATAAAAATATTAAGCTGCAAGTTTATTATTATTTTAACTGACTGCATTATTATATGTGTTAGTAATAAAGTTGCAATTCGCACTGATGTCTTCTTCCCTCACTTACCTCCAAAGTTGACAGGTCCACCTTCACATTTCCTCCGCGGCTCCACACAGCTTTGACACATCACTTCTTCCTTTCTCGCCTTGAGAAACACGCGACGAGGTAAGGTAAGCTTTAAGCAACGTGGTTTGGAGTTATAGTGTTAAGTACGCATTTAGTTTCATACAGACTCGCCGTGAAACGATGTAGCGTTTGTCGTTTTTTTTTTTTTTTTCTGCAAGAATAACTGGACTGGAGCAGACGCTGTTGCCTGTCCGTCGTAGCTGAAACATGCTAACGCTAGCATGTCATGTTAGCATACCTTAGCTGAAACAAAGAAGATTAGTCGAGGTGAAATTAATAGTTCTGTTTTACAAATTTTAAAACGACACAACTTACTTGTAGTTGTTTGGCGTTGATTGGACATTTACCAAAGTCGAGACGTTTGAATACACTCGCTAGCTTAGCTAACTATTAGCTCACTTAGCTAACGCCGCTGGCTAGCAAGGGCGTGCCTTGATTGTCCTTGACCTGTGAGGGCGGCTAATTGATTAAAGGAACAGTCAAATTGATCGATATTGGCGTTGCCACAGGTCACTGCAAATTAAGAAAAACTGTGGTCTATTTTGCACAGTGGAAACCAGGTCAAATGTATAGCTGCATCTGAGTATTTGCGTATTCTTTTTTGTTTTTTGTAGGTTTTCCTGCCCATCTTGACATTTTACTCTAGCTAACTGTATGTGAGCTCTTGGGTTAATGCTGCTTTTTTGCTGATATAACATTTAGTGTGTGAAAGTCAGTGCTGGTAGTAATAATATTGGCAGTAACAGTTGTCATCAAGATATAAAAGAACAGTAAAAATCTTGTACATTTGACACACTGCCTTGTCAAGGCAGAATCGTGGGTTCACTGATGTTCATTTATGTATAAAATGCATAAAAACAGCTACAACCTGTATCATTCAGTTTACAAGGGTGCATGTATGAATGCAGTAAGTCCAATAAGGTCTCAATTAATTGTCTGTTTAGAAACAATCCATTTTGGATTATTACATGTTTTTGTTTTGTTTTTTTTTTGTCTTGCTGTAAGATATAAACACATCTTTAAATTCATGTCTGGCAACTGTGGCATGCAGATGATTTCGTTATCCAAACAGCTAGGATGTTCTCACCACTAACACTGCATAATGAGTTGTATGTCATACTAATTATATTGACAGTTAAGCGCAGCAGCCCTCATGCTAACATAAATACAATTCCTATACAGGTTGCGTGAAAGGCATGGCGGCTCGCAAAGCATTTAAATACAGTCCGAGAAGAGGTGCTGCTAGTTTTCAGTCTCTGGCAGACCGTGAGCCGGGCTTGCATCTTCCCCATCCCGAGGTCCACCTGACGGATGATGCAACGGTTTGTGGCAGTGCTGCTGAGCTGAGGTAATGAGAAAAGGCTGCAATTTTGTAAGGTGGTTACAATAGCACTACAGTAACAACCTACATTTCGCTTGTTCTCCATTTATCTGGATGGGAGATTGGACTTTTTTTTTTTCTTTTTCATTTGTTCCTGCTTCTTCTTCTCAGGATTCTCACAAATAGTTTTCTCTAGTTGTCTGCATACAGCTGTGGCGCTACATACCTGCTCTGCATGACTGTCGCTTAACTCCTCTACTGGAATAGCTGTGACTAATTCTCTATTTCACTTAAGTGGAATGCAGTCTTTCACTGATGTTAGTAAAAACCAAGTTCTAACTGTTACCTTGTCAACAGCAGTTTGGCTTTTTCTTAACAAGGTGAGTAGTTTGCAAACGATTGTGTGTCCAGTGCAAATTGGACACATGCACTGTCAGTTACTGAAGCTCATTAATCAGTGCAGCCATAGTTTCAGTCCAGCCAGTGGCTCATTTGGTTGGAAGGCTTGTCATGTGTTTCGCTTTGCTCTGAACCGTTGCAACCTCAGTGATTTTCTTTCTTTTTTTTTAATCCTCTCTTTTATAAAATTGGCGATCAAAAATCCACCTTGAATTAAAAACCAACACATCCGCCCCCCAAAAATATAAAAGAAGCTTTCAGCTGAAGACCTCTAATTTAAAGGAAACAGTGTAATTTCATTTGTTAGTCCAGGAGCTTTTCTTTCACGCCTCTACTGAAGCATGCAGGTGAAAAGATGGCTTATTAGGCACTAGTGAGCCTTGCAATGATGCCTTGCTGTTGAACCCCAGCCTTCGCCCTTCTTCCCTACTTGGCACTTACAATCCAGCGGGTTTTTGCACTTGAAGGAAAATGTGCCAAAATGTGTTCAGAACTGCATCTGCTGGTGAAAAAGCCACATTTGATTTGACACCTTGCCTAATTTTGTAGCTACAGTTGTGTTTTTGTGGGACGTGCTCATCTTCACTTGTTCATTTCTATCTATCCAGACATTTCAAGTGATTGAGTTTTCTCGAGGTTTCTGTTTGCTCCTCTCTTAGGGAAAATGCACATGCTACTGGGGACCATTTACTTCTGGAAGGAGGTGACACACCCAGAATGATGAGGCCTTCCATCCCCAAGTGCAAAGATAAACTTGATTCTGTTGACACGACATTGAAAAATGAGGTAAATAAGTTAAATGTGAAACTTAACGCCTGCTGCATAGTGAAGGCTATACGTTAAATGTGTTTAAGTGTCAAATCAGAACATTTAATCTATTCCTAAATGTGAATTGCAGGGTCATGTAGAGTAGTGCAATTAGATAGTATAGGAAATTTAATTATAGTATAAGAAATGTAAAGACATATTTGTTTTTTGTTTGCGTTTTTCCCTAAAGATGTGATTGCAAATGATGAGATCCTGACAGTGTCCATCACACTCAGCGTATGACCTGGGGGGGAATAAAGTAATTATAAGTAATTCTCTCCTCTGGTTCATGAAGAAGGTGTCCTTCACAGGCAAATTAAAATGACGAGGGAATTAATGATGGTATTAAACCATATTTGAAAGTCTAACATCAAAGCGAAATCTCAACATCTGTGCTAATGAACATCAGATTACTTGACTGGCAAGTACAGCAGTGCGTCATACCATTATCCAGCTAAGTGGAGGGATTCTTAACCATCTGCAGCCACCTTGTCACTTAAGCTGCACACGGCAGAGTTATTTATCTTTTTTTAATCTTGTATTGAAGACAACATGCTTTCCTAAGTCTGCACTAGAAGATGGCACAAGATGTAAGCTCAAAGTCGAAAGAAGACTCCCAGTATTTACTTGTATGATTTTGTCTTTTTTTTTAGGTTGAAGAATCGGATGATGACCAAGCCGTCCTCTCTCTCTGTGGTATGTCGACTCCTGAGAGCATACTCTCAGATGAAGAGCCTGTGATGGACCCGATCAAGGACAAGAGCACGAGCACTGAAGGTGCAGTACGAGTCACATGAAAGGAAAAAATACAGTCCGTGCTTTCAGTCCCACCGTAGCGGTAATAATCATGAATGTTCAGGGCAGTGCTGCTCAAAATGTTCAGCTTCTGCATCGGCCACCAGCTAGTCTCGAACGCTGCTAACAGTCTGGTGCTCCCAGCCAACCTAAAGGGAGGTGACGAACTGTGTCCTCCTACCTAAAAGCTGTAGTTACACCTTCACAGCACTCGGACACGTCTCCTCCTTTGGACGGCTGGCGTGACAGTCACTCAGAGGACCCTGTGATCACTGGTCTCTGTTAAAGCTGCTCTTTGGCTGGTCTTAGAATGAAGTCCATGCTAAAGTCAGGACAACATAGTCATCAGCCATTTTCTAGCACCTGTTCCAGTGAAGCTTGAAAGAGCTTTTTGTCATATGCTGCAGAGTTTGCAAAATACAGTAACGTAGTCAAAGTCTGCAGAAGTTTTATTTGATTGTTTTGACAGCAAGAAAAAGGTTAAAAGCCACTTGTTTAGATTTAAAAAGAGGTCAGTCTCCAAACAGTACACCAATTTCAGAGCATCCCAGCATAATAAAGGAAATCCCTCCAGAACGTATAAATTAGAGTACTTTATGAACTGGTTGAGTGTTTGACAAGGTTAACTATTAGAAGTACAATTTCTGTTACTAAATTTTTAGCAGGTATGTGTAAGTGTGTGACAGTCTGCTTCATCATAGTGCACTTGGCTAGACTTGTCACACCACTAAATCCCTGGAAAAAGTGAAGCAGAGGGCAAAGCAACCACAACATCAGTTTCAGAAAATGACATTGAAAAAAGAAAATCTGCTATAGCTTTGCGGCTGCATACAGGTGAATGAGGTGTCATTCTTTGCTGCTTACATTGAATTGAAGGATTTTGCAAGCGACAGGCTATAATGCAAGACATTTTTCTCAACCACTTTATTCTCATTTTAGAGAGCAAAACCTCAGGGAAAATTTCCGAGTAAATATCGAAAAATGCTTTCTGAATTGTGTACAATAAAAAAATAAGAGTCGCAAATATTTCGGTCATCAACTGCGAGTGTAATAGTACAGAAAAGTATTCAAGGCAACATCTTCTTACAAGTATTTGAAAGGGCACTCAGAGCACCGCTGACACAGTAATGTCCAGAGTTTACTCTATGCTTCGTTATATAGGCGTCTCAGGGTTTTCATCTTTTATCATCCTTTCAGTTTGGCGAACTGACTGGCACAAGAGTCACATGGCAGCTGTAAGCAGCGAGAAGTTTGACAGCCTCTTGAAAATATGTTCAGACTTCCACGGCTGTAAGAGCCACATGGCAGCATTTGTCTTGATAACAGGTAAGCTCCCTGTACACCCTAGATATGCCTTGAAAATGTGATACTTTATTTAAATGTTGATTCATGTCACTGTGTTTTTGCTCTTTTTTTATGTATAATTCAAAACTGCTAAAGAAAACATTTAACTCTTAAGTGTCTAGAAATTCATAAATTGGGCCTGTGGCAGTGACAGGTCATTATTGCAATAGCATGTTAAACGGCTGGACACGCTCATTTCGAGTCCACATTATGAGAATTTCCAAGCATGAAAAAAAGGTCATGCTCAATTATAAGGAAATGTGTGTGAAATCACATGTGATACGGTTAAAATTTTCCATTGTACCTGATGGGCTGCTTTAATGTTTTGGTATTAAAGCAGTAAAAGACCTGAAGTATATGGGTATACATAATTGGATAATAATTTGAGTGAGTCAGTTTAGGGAGAACTGTCTGAGAAAAATTACACTTTTTAGCACTAAGTGCCAAAATTGTAAGGCTTCAAAGCTAATTGGACACTAAATGTGTCTTGGACTGCTGTGTGATGCACAGTGTAGGTCATGCACAAAACCCCTTACATGTGGCTCAGATTTGATTGAAAGTTTCCTCTTAGATTGATGTGTCAATACAAGGAATACAAAGGTGACCATGCAAGTAAAGGATGTAGGAATGATGCTCAAAAAAATGAAACAAAAAGAAAAGCATCAGAGAGATCAAAGGTGGCTGGTTTGCCAAAATCAACAGTTAAGTACATTCTAAAGAATCAGGGACGCAAAGAAAAGCTAGAAAATGGAAAATGACCTGGTAGGCTGAAGAGCAGATTTCTTGTGGATCGCCAGAAAGTAATTTGAAGAAAAACCTTTTTATGACTGCACACGAGTCAAGAATGCTCTCCAGGATGTAGGCGTGCGTGTTTTCTTGTCAGACGGTCAAGAGAGGGCCTCTATGACCAAAAAGCTTGTATGAGGACTCACCACTACATGCAGACCCCTGGTGCGCCTCAGAAACAGAGAGGCCACCATGGAGTTCACAATAACATACAAAAAGGAACCAGTGGGAAGAAGAAGTAGAAAAAAAAGCAGCTATTAAAGAAATTATAAAAAATGAAAGTGCTAACAGAAGTAACAGGATGAATACAGAGGTGCACAGGAGTATTATGTGTCCTCAGATTCATCCAAATGCATCAAAACCTTTGTCGGCATCTAGGAGTCGAAGACTTCTTTTCCACAAAATATTAAACGTGACGATTTTGTTTGACTTGGCTTATAAATCTGCCACACGATTCTTCTGTGAGATGGGGCACTTAAATGTAGTGATGTATTTTAGGTCAAACTTAATGCGCTTGAAGAGCGCAAAATATGTAACTGTCCAAATACTTATTATGGTCTGGACTGTATGGTGCCCCAACATAAGCTATGATGTAAAGTTAATTCAGCAGAAAGTGTCATGTTACAGCCAAGATACTGATTTAAGGAACAGTGCTGTATACTAGCAGAATGTGGCTCCATGCTCAGAACAGAACTATCAACAATACCGTCATTTTGATCCTTGAGAGCTTTTTCATTTTTATTCAGGGTTGTCTGATTACGACCTAAGAATCCTTTTTGTCCTTCGGCGGATCATTCTCTGTGTCAGTTGTATCTCTGTCTCTGGCACTCGCTGTTAGCTAAAGCTACCATGAACAATACATTGGAAGGAAAAATAGTTTAATCTCCCCACAGAGGTGTTGGATACAGCGGGCTGTCCCTGTGAGCAGTACAAGGTGGTGGCGGTGGGAGCTGGCCGTTCAAGCTGCAGCAAGTGGCTTTGCTACAATGGGATGATGGTCCATGACTGCCACGCCATCATCATCGCCAGACGAGCTCTCCTGAGGTACAAACTAATGAAATAACCACTTCATGCAAATCTCAAGAATGCTCACATTTAAGTATTGAATTCTCAAAAGTGCTGGAATGGGGAAATGGCCCAGGTCCTAATTTAATAACTTTACAAACCAGTAAAATGTATAAATGCTGCCTTTTCTTTAATATTCAGGATGAAGTCACGACATGCATCCTTGATCAGCTCGCTCACTCACCGACGGTGCCTCTGGTTCATTGAAAGTGCTGATGTGAGAATTGTGTTTTCTGGCTTGTGTTCAGGTTTCTGTACAAACAGCTTCTGCTGTTCTTTGAAGCTGATCCAAAGGCCAAGGAGAACTGTATTTTTGAGAGTAGTGCAGACAGCCACCAGCTTCAGCTCAAACCCAAGATCAGCCTGCATCTCTACACCAATCAGTGTCCCGAAGGAGCCGCTAAGAACTTCAACTTCATGTACAGAAGTCTTTTAATTAGTCTCTTCTTTTGACTCATTCCATATTTGTTTGAAGTCAAATTTCTCTGTGTAAATGCAAAATGCCTTGGTGTAGTTGAAATTCAAGCTTTTGTTCCCAAACTATAGATTTGATTTCTGATAAATGTATCATCCTACTAACCTACAAACTGGAAATTTGTTGAATTGACTTAATTAATATTATACGTCTTTACTTTGTATGTAATCCAAATCATATTTTGTAACTAAACTGTTGTATTGCACTAGTTTAAAACATATGGTTTATATGTCTTTAGACTGACAGAGTAAATGCACTTATGACTCAGAATTTTTTGCTTAATGTCCTGTGTAGGGGCTCGGCAAACAATGCTTGGACCCCTATGAAGCTGCAGTATCACGCCAAAGGCCTGCTGACCCCTGCGGCCTACCTCGACCCAAGTTTATTGGGTGCCAAAGTCTGCTGCATGTCCGGTAGTGACAAGCTGTGTCGCTGGACTGTCACTGGGGTTCAGGGTGCATTACTGAGCCACTTCATTCAGCCGCTCTACATCACCAGCATGGTGCTAGGTAAAGAGCCTCAAAGCTCCACATTATAGTAAATGTACTTATTGGATTTCTTGCCTTGAGAGATCTACGAGAAGACCTGACTGTATCTGTGTGCTAAATGTAAAGATACAGCCAGCTGCTTCCTGCTTCCAACCAAGAAAGAAAGAGTGTTTATATACTTGAATTTACCAAACAAGATGTAGTTAAATTTGGGCGAGGTGCTGGTTGGTAGATTTTGTTACCTTTCAGCTGTTGAATTCTTATTTAAATGTGGTCCATTTGATACAGTACTATTCAGAAACCATGCGTCATGATTATTTTTGTTTAAAAACCTCCGACATATCCATTTACATGCATCCTCTCAGCTGGCTCGAGTGGAGAAAGATGCTAATGTGCGTTCTTTGTGGTTGAAGTGTGAGAAGGAAGTCTTCTGAAACATGTGATACCCAGTTCTCCTTAAGTTTTATACTGAATGTACAGACACTTAGCAAGATAGTGATGAGACGTGTTTTCTTTTAATTCCTGTTTAGGTCACAGTATAAATAAGCTGAAGGTGGTGTTATGACTGGCACTTTGAATGCATATGATATCAATTCTACTGCCGTCATGAATACTTTGTGAGATTGGTAAACCGAAGCTTTTGAGCATAGCAGTAAAGGAATTTCTTTCACCTGTGTTTGTATTTAGGATGCCAGAAGATCTTAAACGAGCAAGTGTCTGATATCACCAACAAGCGGCTGGGCGACGGATGGGAGGCCCTTCTGCCTTCACCCTACAAGAAACATGACATCCTCTTGCTCTGCGGCGATTACGTGGGACCTCATGCAGCCTCCCCGCAGCACGACAATCTCAGCATCAACTGGTGCCTCGGAGACAAGGATATTGAAGTCTTAGACAGTAGAACGGGCTGCATCGTTGACGGGTAATATGCTTTGTAAAAAGGAATCAGTCTTTTTTTTCCCCTAAGTGTAGGAAGTGAAGAAATTGTCAGTAACCTGTCCCTGAATCAAAAATGTGCTACCGGTGTAATATTCTGTACTGTTTCAGAGTCTTGACCTGACTACAGCTTACCTCATTTACACTCCCGCAGCCAGTTCCAGAGACAGAGAGTGGAACTGTTGGCAGAGTGTGATGCAGCTGGCTAGTTTGACAGCCTCTGTGTGGCCTGGGGCTCCTGCCATCTCTTGGCTCTGGAGCTGCAGACAACTGCTGATGTCCAGTAGCTAGAGTGTGGCACAGACGTGGCTCTCACTGGAGGCTGTGTTGTCCTTGAGCGGAGATTACAGCCAAAAATAGACGTGAGATCCCGTTTGGCTCTCGCACTGTTGCCAACTATTTCAGCTTCTGTCCCGCAGCTTGAACTATTAGTTTTAGGCGACGCCACGGTTTTAGGTTTGCAGGATGAGCACATTCCAAACACAAAAGCAGAAATAGACAAAATTAATTCAAAGGAAAGTAATACAGGACATCAAGTGTGTGTGGGATGTGAAGAGAAATTGAAAGAACGGCAAGAGCACTTTCTGAAAAAAATCTCCCAAATTATAGTGTGGAAATAAAAGGAGGTCTTGCTTGTGTCACATGAGAATTCTTTAATTTAGTGATGTAGAAGAGGCATGCCAATTACTCCTAGCTTCTTTTAGCTATGGCTTTCAGCGCTGAAGCAATTAATTGTTTCTTGAAAACCTCGGCTCGCACCCACATCTATTGAATTCTTGCAGCAAGAATCCATTATACATGCAAGATAACAAAAAAAACCCAAAACAAAGCATGTCTTGACGAGGAATATCGTGGGCAGTAGACAGTGTCATGGTGTTGGAACACACCTTAAAATGATTTGATATGAGCCATCTGCTAATGTCAGCTCCTTTCAGAGCTGTCACACTCAACAGCTCCTCCAAATTCCATCTGTATAGCCAGCACTGGTCCCCTCCCCAGGGTTCCACTCAAGAGTTTCCCTTAAGAAATGTGTTAGTGGCAGTGGTAAGTGCTGCCTGTGGGGATTCCTGCCTTCTCCTGTTCAGACCACAGCCACACTTTTGCCCCAGTGGTGTGAAAGAATTGCCTGGCCAAACACATTTTTATGTTTAGCACAGCTATGCTCTTCGGCAGAGACTGTATCCTAGTTGGTAAATGCAGCGCTGCAATGAATTCACATTGCACATTTACAAATTTTCTTCTTGAAAGTGGATAGTTGAAGGGACATCATCTAACAAATTCCCTCACTGTTGCTCATTACAATCATTGCACAGCAAGTATTAACATGTGTGGACAAGAAGGTGCAATTAGTCCACTGTACTTTTAATCCAGGTTGACTTGTTGGAGGTGTTTATTTAGTATATTCCAAAATATATCCTTAAATAATGTCTGTACCTAAAGTACAAAAAAACCCATGGAATAAAGACAGTGCAGGGCTCAAAACTTTAAAAACATTTGTTCTTAGGTTGAAAATTCATTCAACATATTTGTCAGATCTTCAAGGACACAAGTATTTTTCTTTGACCAGAAATGTTGAGGTTAAAAAAAAAAGGTGTCTTTTAAAGAAAAGGCACCTTTCATTACAAAGAAATCCATCATCTGCCTTATGAGATCATCTGGAATGTTTGGAATGCACTAATATGCATATAGAGAAGCTTCAATTGGTGGAGTGGTTATCATTGTGCAATTTATTGTTTCCCAGCTCTCCCTTTGTGAGCGGGCCTACCTTCTCCAGCAGACTTTGCAAGAGAGCCCTCTACAGTTATTTCCTCCGAGTTGCACAGCTGGGTGGACATGCCTATCTGCTGGAGCTTCCCACCTACCACAGTGTCAAGGTGCGCAAATTCTCAGTGCCACAAGACCTGTGTAAAGCTAAAAAATTATGTGCCGTGCGTTCGGCAACTGTCAGACTGTTTTCCAGCTCTGCTTCACTGCTGAGATGCATAATGCTGTAATTTTTCTTTTTATAGATCGAAGCCGGTTTTTACCAGATTGTCAAAGACGTGGTCAAACAGCAGTTCGTCAGAATCCACGCTGGTCTCTGGATTCCAAAAAAGCTGGTGGATTGTTTTAGCACTTGAGCGCCAACTCAGAAAGCGGTCGAAGTTCATCCCAAGTTCCCCTTGAAATTTGATTTCTCTGTTCCTCTGTGCATTTTGCTGATTACTTTTAGCAGTAGTTCTAGTTTTGTTTTATGTATAACACTCGAGTTTTCAGTTTGTGTAGGTGTTTGAGAAAAATAAACAGGACCCTACTGTTATGCACCACACTGAAGGAGTCAGTTTGAATGAGTTGTGGGTGGAAATGTATTGCTTCAAGGCGAAGGGGAGGAAAATGGGGGAACATTTTCCTCTGTCCTGTCAAGTAGAATTAAGCAGGGTTATCCCTCTGTCGTCCTGTAGCCTGAAGCTCGTGCATCAACAGTGCAATTTGTGTTAATGTACCAACTAAATTATGCAACCAGTCATTGGTATGGGGATGAACAGGTAATTATTTTGCGGGATTTTGTTTTTATTGTTATTGTCATTCAGCATTGTGTGATATTTTACAAACTCATACTACATTTAATCAGTTTTTTTGTAGTTGTATTCAAAGCAAGTCCAGTGTGCTCCAAGGGGGGACGTTAAATCAGCAGCTGAACAACCAGAATATGGTATCAAATTTAAAGTTTCAAATTCTGTATTGTAGTTTCTGTTACCCTTTTGTGTGTTTATGTTTTTTCCTAAAAAAATCTCTGCCCCCGTATCCCTGCACTTGGCATTGCTGGTGTACAGAAAACATAAATGAACTAAAATGCTACAAGAAGAGAAGCTAACAAATCGTTTTTGCTTTAGTCTGAAATTTTCGATCATCCTGTGTTTTCTTTCTATCTGGGCATTTTTTTTGTAGCATTACTTCATGGTTTTACATATTCTGCCTGACATCCTTTACATTAGTTGTTAGTCAGCATGTGCAATCTACACGCTGGCTTTAATTAACACCTCTTTTGTACTCCCCTCTCAACAAAATCAGATAGTTTTCTGAAACATTACACAACTAGTAGCTGTTGCCAGCCTTTCATGCAGATGTGAAGGTGAGATAAATAGTATAGAGTGAAGGAACCAGCAGATATATCCCCAGGGATTTAATGCAGCATAGATTGCTGTAAAGTGTATGCATTGCTATAGACCATCCCCAGTCATTATCAGGGGTACATTTAAAATATACAACATACTGACCCAAGACTGCAGTAGTTTTAAAAACACTTCATATTTGTTGAATCCATAAAGTGAGCAGCAGAGATGGCATTAATTGGAGACGTGACTAGGGACCATATGTTGATCACAACAAAGGTGTCAGAATTTGCAAGAACAAAATAGCAGTCACAGTCACATGAAGCAACTGTGGTGATCTTTTGATGAAGTGATCAAGGAATGATTGTAGGATGTAGTTTAACATGAAGAACCCTTTTCTGGCAGAAATTAGGCAAAGAGGGAACACAGTGGGACTTTTGTCATCTTAAATTTCAAATTTTATTATTTTTTCACACAAACTGTGTGGTACCACGGTTCATTGTCACCATGGCTCCACTCACCAGTTGCTTGGCAACCAACTCCTCCTTGGAACTGATGCAACTGCTCATGTCTTCATAATTACAGGCTCTTTTACAATATTTAGCAAAAACAAAAACAACAATAGAATTGCATGAAAAAATTATCTAATGAAGCTGGAATACAATGGTGCCTTGCAGTTAAATTGGGCGCTACACTGCATGAATTACACATCTGTGTCCTGCATTGAATTACAGTGTGTTTCGGCGGCTGTTTCAGTTTTCAAGCTTTTCATTGTTAATTTTTGCATTTCTGCATGTGCGTGTAAGCAAATGTATGCATGCCTTGGTTTTATCTTTGTTCCTGCTGGTCTAGCAAGTGATTCCTCCAGCCAGGTGTTGGGTTCATCCCCCTGTATGAAGGCACAGCTCCTGTACCTGCGGGGCTTCTCTGGACTCGAGGAAGAGCCGGGGGATTCACAAAAAGGTCTGCAAGACAATTAAATGCCTGTGAGCAATTTAGAGGTGTGAATTGCTGATAATTTCGCATATGTGGGTTGAGAATGTGTGCCAGAGAGTTTGGGGTTAAACTTAAATTAAGCTGTCAGATGGCGAAGGGAACCTTTAAAGGAATAACAATTGCGTCCTTTTAGTTGTGTTTAAACTGGCTTAATTACAAAGTCTTGTAATTATTTAACGTCGGTGCTGTCTCATTAATGTAAGCAGTGACCTTCACTGTGATTCTGGCAGCCGAGGGACTGTGATGTCTGACTAAATCTGTTATCATTTCGTGTGAAGGAGGCTGAATCTAAGCGAGATGAATTATAACTTTTAATTGCAATCTTAAATGTCATAGAATAGATTAGGATCAAGGAATTCCTGAGTTCAATGTCAACCAAAGCTAGAGGCACGAGAGAATGAACAAAATCCCACCCGAATGTGTTTTTATTTTCATAAAGGATTATAGCTGAAGCCAAGACCTTGACTTCTTTTTTTCCCCAAAACATTTTTAAAAATTGTTTTGCTTTTATTTTTTCGTAATTTTTTATCATTGAGAACTTAGTTTATCTTGCTTTAAGCAACTGCACTGACAGATTTGTAGAGTTTAGCCAGGATTTGTGCTGTTTTGCACTATGCTTTGTTTTCTCACCCAGGTTCGGTCTCTTGCAGAACGTGTCTCTCTGGCTGGAGTCGGAGGAAGCTGATGTACTGTCTGTGGAGCTGGACTTGACCGAGCGCACCGATGGTTCTGATGCTTTCGGAGGATTTGTCCTGGGTTTAGCCAGGACTCCCACTGATGCTGAGTTGCTCCACTCTGGAGGACAGTGCCAGACACAGGTAATAAAAATCAAGCCCAAGGTTGCATTTATTGTAATTACTTTTCTTGTAAGTGACCTTATGAGGAGAACTCTACTTTCACAACCCACTGAAAACAACACAAACTCAAAGTCATTGCATTGTACCACTTAGATAATTGATAGATCATGAGTGTGGCTGTTTAACTATCACATCATTAGCCTCACAAATAGTTTCCATAACAGTAGCTTGAGTGATTATATGAGTATACCAGAGTGCTCCTCAAGTCGAAAACGTCCGAAACAGAGGTGAATCCTCCACTGTGTCCTGACATTCTCCTTCATCAGGCAGTGGAAGAAGAAGATAAAAAGTCCTGAAATTCACAAGAAAGTGAAATAAAGCAGTGAGCTTCTGGGAGGCTAGATCGGCTCTCAGCTTGCGCCTATTCCTTCCCTTAGCAGATACTTTTAATTTGCGCTTGAGCCGGGCATTTCACCTCTAGAAGTAAACAGTGGTGGTTGCATCACTCTAGGACGCCAAGAAAAAGTATTATTACAGAGGCCAGTTGAGGTACAAGCAGTTGTGAAATCGTTGCATCATTTGTCTGTTTGATTTCTTTCTTTTTTATCTGAGTTTCTTTTGAACTGTGATTGTGAGGTTGGGTGTTGAGGAACACTGCACGAGTGGCTGGGAAACCATCACTCAATACATAAACACAGTAACACACACACACACACACACACACTAGAATTCTCCTACAAGAACAAAAAAACAGTAATGGAGGTTTAAGACATGAATACAAAAAAGTAAGTCTTGCTGGCAGGATTGTTTCAAGCCCAATTCAACAACCTCCATTAAATTGTGGACTTGTTCATGAATGCTGCATGTTCATAATAGTTGATTATTAGCTAATAATAAATACTATTAATAGACTATAAATTAAAAGAGCATTGACTTCTGATCCATGTGGGTAAATGTAATTTAGAATAGGTAGGTAGGTAAATTTACTTTACTTCATTGTCATTCAGTTAGTACATCAACAGAAATTAAAATGCACTTAAAACGAAGTTAGGAGCACAGATCACTGACGCAATAAATTTAAAAAAAACTGAAAAACCTAGAAGTAGTAAAAGGCAAAGATGGGTACCCAAATAAATAAAATTAGAAGCCATTTTAGATTGCACTACAGGCCTAAAAAATAAATCAATCAATAATAAAAACCAGTATTGCAGAAAATGATAATGGTATCACAAGTAAGTGAAAAGAAGAACTTCACAAAATTTCAGCCCTGATGTCCAAATCTGCTGATACAAACATAAGGACTTTAGCAGAGTCTGTAATCACGTTAACTAAGCCAAAGAAGTCAGAAAATATGAATACAGCTGCTGTGCTTCGACAGATTGAGGCTGAAAAGTTTGACATTAAGTCACACTTTTTAAAAAAGCAAAAGGCGCTCATGACTTTAGTTCCTTAGAGAAAATTCAATTCCTAATGTGTTTTTCTGCATACTATAAATATGCATGTTCTCTCTATGCTTATGACACGCTGGACATTATTAGCACCTTTCAGTAATTCTCTCTGTACAGAAATGAAACAAGAACCTTGCAGGGTGTTGAGTCCACAGAACAGGTACAGCATAACTATCCTGCCTGGTCCGAAGGTGCAGAAGCCAACGGTCCACGTCAATCCAAGTAACAAGGTTAGACTGGCAACTCCCTTCAGGTCGTGCATGAGTCCGCTCCGGGTCCCTGCCGGGCTGTTGACTCGCATTTGACGAATTTGGATCAGAACCACCACAAAGACCTAAGGGGAGAAAGAAGAGAGGAAGAAGGCTTGAAGTAGTTTGATTACAGGACAAGTATGCACACTAATAACGCACCTTCAAATGGGGGATTTGGTGTCGAATAGGTTACATATTGTTATACTGAGATGTACGAGACTTCGTGAGCTACAAATCCTGGTCAATCTGAGTAGAGATGAAAATCAAATAAGATGTGCAGCACGTTCTGGGATTGTATTGTCAAAATATTTGCTGTCTAGTTAATACATCCTGTGTGAAAATGTGCTAATTAAAGCCAGTTAGGAACAAAACAGGATACGTGAAGTAAAATTAAACTTATGTAGGAACATTAATGAGAATTATTTACCCCCATGTTGAAGAGGAAGATCAGCACAGCGTAGGCAACCACAGACACATAAAATGCAACATCGTCCTGGAGCCAACAGCTGAGGGAGCACGGATTGAGTAAAGAGGAG